ACACTGTTGAAGCCAAATGCTTCATCTTGATTTTGAATCACATCAGGATCTTGATGGTTGAGTATTTCAGAGAAATTCTGACGAAGTATTTTCATTTTAATGAGGCAGCATCTTTCTGAAGGGAAGCAGGAAAGCTCTGACCAGCACCAGTCACAAGGCAGACTTGCTGCGGTTGCAGGCAGTAGAGCAGCACACAAAGCTGCAGGATGCTAGACAACACAGGGCTTGGTGTTTGCTGTTGCCTGACCCAGATCTACATGAGCTTGTAATGGTCTCCAAGCTAGATAGATCACTGGGGTAACACCTTGGAGAACATCTAGAAACTGAATTCTGGCAGCTGACTGAAAGGACAAGCAGGGTAGGCAGCTCCCTACCAAGAAAAAGATAGGGAAAACACCTGGCAACATAGCTAATGGTGTCAGAGGCAGCCTGCAAAGTGTGAAATAAAATGCTGCATAAGTGGTCAAAGATGCAGATGAACATGAAGTGGGACATTGAAATGAAGTCACTCCACTGTCCTCCCCTGGTACTGTAGCCCAAGCAGCACCTTTGAAGCCAGGGATCTGGAGCTACACTTTCTCTGGGAATATACCCAGGACATACTTACACTGCAAAAACTGGTTTTTTATTAGTCCACCTGTAAGATACCTGCAAGCACCTTCCTCTGGGGCCAAGCACCTCAGTTTTTAAACAACTGATTTAGCAGACTGGCTTAGTTACCCCACAATTCATTTGTATGGCATGAACTAGCAGTTACTGGACAAATTGGAATCTGCAAAAAATAAACACCACACTGCTAGGCCTAATGCAAACAGTAGCAAAGTCATCCAGGATTATATCAGCAGCACTTCACAATATGAGAGGGTGTAACAGGAGTAGGAGCACTTCCTATCCCCAGTGAGAACAGAAATACACAGCTCTGTTTTTGGAACCTTAGTACTCCCAATATTTGGACACTTAAGAACTGCAGTCTCCCCCCTACTTTAAGCCAAATTCTACAATACTTGGAAAATACAAATCGCTTGTTGGTAATTGGTAGCAGAAACAGGCCTGGGATGCTTTTTTCCCTAGTCTGAGTCTCAAAAGCACCTGTGTCTATCCAAGTCTTCACCCTTAGGCCAAAAGAAAAACCTCAACACACATGTTTAGCATAAGGCAAATGCCCCAAAATGCTGTATGGTTTAAGTCTCTCCTAGTAATCTTCATCTGATGAACAAAGCAACATTGCCTGTGGCATGAGCTACACACTGTATTATATCCAGGGAAAAAGCAGAAGGATTTGGTTATTGGAAAGATTTGCAAAGCCATTCCACTAAAGTATTTATACAGATATATTTGAAGTTTACTAAAATGACTAACAGCAGGGGAAGAAAATATATTGCACCTCAGATGCATCTCAGAATTTGTACTTGAAGATAAGCATCCACATCAGGGAGGGTTTTAACACAACCCATTCTTCTGGAGCATGAAACACTCACCTTCAAACTCTCTTATCCAGATTCAAAAACACAATATGGTGTGGGAGAAACCTGAAGTCAGGAGCCAAAGCCACAGCTCTGGTGGCCAGTCAATGCCCTGGGGTTTGCTGTTTGCCTTACCTCTGGATCATGATGACAACACAGGTTTCTCACCTGATATCCAGCAGAGCACCAGTAACATCCAAATGTGTGAATGGAAACTGTTCCTTCTTCATCCCACCAAGTGCCCCACAACTATCTCTAAGAGCAGATACCCAAACACCAGCATTTTTCTCCTGATCAATGTCAGTAAGATGTCATCACTGAAGTCCACAATAAAAAGGGGATAAAAATGGGTTTTTTCCATTTCTCTGAAGGCTCGGGAAGTAGCAATATTCTCATTATTTCAACTGGGCATAACTTTAAAAGTAAAACCACTGACACATGGATCTGACACAGACTTTCCTCCCACATTAACTTAATCTTTCAGCCATTCTTCATGTAAAGACCATTTTACCACAGAAACTAGAACACTGTCTGTGCTGTGAGGATCATAGGATCTCAGCAATGTTCTCAAGGTAAAATTCCTTAACAAAAAAACTAGCTGTCCATCAGAAAACAGGACATGAGACTTAGCTCTCTAACTCAAATCGTTCCTGATGAAAGCATTTACTTCTCAATTTATTACGCACAGAGACCCAAGCACCAAGAGATAATCAAGTTTAAAGTAAAATGAGCCATGGCCAACTCAAAAGCAAGCTTTGAATGAGCACAAGTCCATTTACTCACTGCTTTCTGCCAGGCAAAGTTTGATTATCAGCTGGGGCAGAAGCTGTTACCCTGCAGGGCTCACACCAGGCATGATATGCCTTCAGATCTGCAGGCTGGCTGTGACCTGCAGGCATGAGCAGCTGCAACTGTTCTGACCTCTTCTGGGCACAAATTGCTGTAATCACTCCAGGAAATTTGAGAAACCTGGGGATCTTTTTTGTCATTACACTCTAATGTTGCAGTTGCTTCCTGAGGACAAGGCTGTTTTTACTCCTCCACATCACTTAAGGTTTTCAACATTTAGCATGTATCCTGAAGTGAAAATGTGACAATTAAAGAGTTATGGAAGTTTTCTTACCTGAACCCATGCATTTTTTGAAAAATGAATTGCAGTAGGAAATAAATAACAAGAGCAACTATGCTTGAGAGTACTGTTCTTCCATTTTATCTATTGTTATTAAAAATCCATTAATTTTAACAGCAAAAAAACCTTCACAGGGGATAGTTAGGGATCAGTTCTGCATAAATTAATGACAAACATCAGAGTACTGCACCACCAAGTATGTCTGGCTTTACTTATCCCACACTATTTTTTCCTCTACTAGCCTAATCACTTTTCACTTACTGCAATTACTGTGCCAGAACCCCTACTAGACAGCTGTTCCGATTCATACATGGATAAAAAACAGCACTTCCATCACTGCTTCAAACCTCTTCTGGTTCTCCAAACTCCATTCCAAAACATATTCCAAGGGGTCAGTTAAATTTTTACTGAAACTTGTTTTTCAGAGTATTGGCTTATTTTTGGGGGGAAGAAATATTAGACTCATCTCCCCAACGCTTAAGAGAATCAAGTGTTAAAATAACTGGTATCTCCATCACAATGGAAGGTAATGTTTTCAGTAAACAAGTATTTTATCAAGACTTGGACATGATCTATGCAAACTAAGCAACAGCAAGACATTAAATCTTTGTGAGAACTGAGAATTAAAATAGGTGGGACCAAATGCATAGCTTTTTTCCAGACTATACATCAAAACTGCTCTGCATTATAGCAAATACATAAGCCAAAATTAAGTAGGCATTTAGACATCAGTGGCACCAGGATAAGATTAGTACTAGCCACAGCAAGTCTTAGTTTCTTGTTGAATCACTTCTAATTCTTATCTAATCTATCACTAATGCATCCGTGTCTACAGTATTCTATTATTCTGTAAGAGCACTGCTTGGCTAAAAGGGACATGCTTCCTACCTGCCATTACAAATCATCACACATTCATTCCAAGCAGTCCTATATTATGTTGAAAATGCACTTCCAGTTCATATCTCCCAGAACTAAAGATAAAAAATTAAAGCTTTCCACCCTAATCATTTTTGTGTATTGATCTTTGACACATACTAAGAATCAAGTTGGAAGAGATATAGTATAGCTAGACACCACTAAGATTAAAGAAATCTTATCCTTTTTCTACAACAAAGTATATAATAGATTTGAATATAAATTGAGCACTGCTAAATCATACTTAGATCCAAACTGATCTCAGTACATTATTACAAACTCATTTATGCTCTAAACGACATAACCCTACACCAAGAGTTCTGATGCTTTGGATCAGATTTAATTTGATCAAAGCTTTGACTAAGAGAAGCCAAGAAAAAGCACAAAGCCCAACTTACTGAGAATAAAATGCTGATATTTAGCCAGAAACCTGCCTACTTTAAAAATAAGCATTAAGTTTCAATGCTTCAAAATGTGTCTGGCTATCCAACTCAACATGTCCTTATTCCAGTTTAACACATTCTCCTCTGACCACTGCAATCACTGACCTGTTACCCACATCAGTGCTGCAGGGCCATTAGAGAACCATCTGTTAACAGCCTTTTGTCTTCTACTTTAAATTCCAGACTTTGGGGATTGAGATTTTTTTAATTTGGCTTTTTTTTCCTGGGACAGCCTTGGAAACATGCACATCCTGCTAGCTTCACAGACTCAAGGGAAGAAGTCACACACCATCACCTCAGTGCAATCAAGAGCAAAGACCAGCCAGTCAACCTAATTTTATACCAAGGCAGCATCTCTCAAAGAGACACAATATATATACTTCAAAAGAAGGAGCACATGAGCAGGAAAAAAGCAAACTCCAGCATTCTTCCCTTTCAAGGAAATGTTTTGAGTTCTGCAGTTTTTATCAACTACACTTGAGAAAGTCAGACCTGCAGGACAGTCCTTGTTAGTTGTTAGATTACATCATGGAATAAACTCTTTTGTATACCAAGACAATAGCCGATTTCAGTTTATCCCATTGCTATTTAGTCTCACTGCAGATAATTTGCAACTCTAGTCTGAGGCCATCTATACCTCCTCCACAGACCACATGCCCTTACCAGTTATATTAAGCAGTCATTCCTGTTGCTCCATGTTTAGTGTGGAATAACAGTTGTAGCACACTGTTTTCACTACTGTTATGTAGTAACACCAAAATTAAACCGCATGATGCAGAAGCCAATACTTCTCCAGCCTATATTAGCTGAATTTACACTGAAACACTATCCAGTCAGTGCAGTCAATCTGAAAGTCAGAGCTAAGCATAACAATTCCACTTGACATCTACTAGCCACATGACTAAGCAGCTATTTCCTGCAGAACATGCATTTCCTCAGAAAGTCTGCATCTCAGAAGGAAATTAACACATAGCTTTGCCCACTGAAGCCACTAAAACACTGAAGCCAACCAGCTCTTTTATTGCTATATGAAATACTGTTCCTAGATATTAAAAGAAAAAGCAATTAAGTCCAGAAGTCAGCTGAATGTTCATTTCTCAGTACCCAGAATATTCAAGTTCTTCACCTTCTATACCAAGTTTCTTCCTGTTATTCAATAGATTTTAGAAGCAATATAGTTTGATTCACAGCACCATTCTGGAGTTACACACCCAGAAGGAAGCACAAGGCATGAAACGTTAGGTTGCAAAACTATAAAGATTTAAGACTTGTGTTTTATCATTGAGTATTACGAGACAGTTCTTTATTTCAAACATTAAAGTGCCAGGTTTATGTACAAATTATTAACAATAGTTTAAAAGGTAAACTTAAAACCTGCTAAGAAAGCAGTGGGGTCATGTAGTTGCCTCCAGAGTTTTCTGCAGAGTATTCAGCAAATTTAAGACTATAGAATTTCTCAGCTGCTCCTTTGTTTATGGGGAGAACAGGAGAGGATAGTGGTCCCTGCCCAAAACCTCCCCATCTTGCAGAAGGTGTCTTTCACAAAATGGAGTAGCACATGTTTTAAGATATACATCTAAGCATTCTATGAATTAACACCATTTGCAGTCTAATAAAAAATTACTTTACTGCTGAGCTACACTAGCCTCCTGAAAAGTACCAATATCACCACACTTTTCAAGAGTGGGATTTTAGCACAGGAATCAAGTCACACTGTGACTCGATATATTTAATGATTCCCTGTAAACAGGGGAGCATACACACTAACTCATATGGTCTCAGTTCATTTAAAATTCTGCATCCAGGGTGAAAGAGTTGTCTGTGGGCTTCGACATGACTCCCATCCTCTGATATTCACCTACTCGCTTCTCAAAGAAGTTGGTCTTGCCTTCCAGAGAGATGTTTTCCATGAAGTCAAAAGGATTCTCCGCTTTGTATATCTGAAATGCAAAGGCAATTCTACAGTCGCTACAGGTACTCACACCTTGAATATGCAAGAGCGTTAGAGATCACTTGGAAGGAGTATAATGACATCAGCAAGTTTATTATGTGGAGTAGAGACTTTTGTTCCCCAAGACTTCTCTACTGTATTTTAGCTGTAGTAAACAGAATCACAGCAACTCTTGTATACCTGTTTTCCCATAGCATCCTTTAGCTTTTCCTTCTGTGGGTCTCTAAACAGCATCTAGCAGCAGGACTGAGAAATGGCTTTACAAGCTATACCAATACTGCTGCAGCCATTTTAGGATTTGGGTTTCTGGAGGAAATTAAAACGTAATATTTTCCCCATGAACAATTCAGTGTATTAGAGCCTTACCTTGTTAAATCCCAGTTCCAACATAAGCCGGTCTGCTACAAACTCTATGTACTGTTTCATTAAAGTGCAGTTCATGCCAATCAGCTTTACAGGCAGTGCCTCTGTCAAGAATTCCTGCAGATAACAGAAGCACTTTATGTACAGAAACCAGTATTCACTCTGTACCGTCTAGGTTAATTTTATGCCCAACAGCTCCCCAGCTTTCTGCTTAATTGCTGTCAAGTTCCCAAACAAGGAGCAGACAATTACCTGTTCTATGAGAACAGCATTCATGATGATTTCCTTTACTCTCTCCTCTGATGGTTTGTGTATCAAGTGCTTGAACATGAGGCAGGCAAAATCACAGTGCAAGCCCTGGAAAGTTTCAGAAAATTATTTCAGGAACACTGATTTAGAAGAGCCACTCAAATCAGTAGCACAGAATAAATAGCCCTAGACATTATCTTTGTACTTGCCACATTAGTATTATCTACAAATTTCTGCCTAACCAGAAGGTGGCACAAGTGAGTTCAGCCAGTACCCGCTGCACTTGCTCCAGCTGGAAAGGTATATATACACACTGAGTGCAAGAGTTGGCAAAAACCCCTAAACTAATTTAGAGGAAGTAAAATGCCAAGTTTATTCATTCTCTGCTGCAAGATCCACAATGACACATGTTTACACACTTTAGCAAGCTTTATAGACTGCCTGTTTTTAAACATATTCCTGTTTTAAAATACAGACTCCAACTGAATGTCACTACTTTTGAGCTTCTGTGGCACGTTACCATCTTAACTGCTAGAATTTGATTCATACCTCATCTCTGCTGATGAGTTCGTTAGAAAAAGTGAGTCCAGGCATTAATCCCCTCTTCTTCAGCCAAAAAATTGATGCAAAAGAGCCAGAAAAGAAGATTCCTTCCACTGCTGCAAAAGCTACTACACGCTCTCCTGTTAAGAAAAGACTGATACTAATATCACACATGACAACAGGATTAATACCCAGAAGCTGCAAACAGACTGGTGAAGAAGTTCCTGCTCAAGCATGCTATAGCTTGTCCTTAAAAACTATTACAGTAAAGGCTTCTAGTCATCAAGCAAAACTTTTAAACATGAGAGAAAGTAAAAACTAATTACAGTAGCTACACTAAGTAGCTGAAGCCAAGGCTCCTTCCCCCAGGTTAACCATCCTTTTTCAAAGATCACTCACTGAAAGAGAGCAGTCATTTTAGCAGCAGATTTAGGTCAGTGTCTGCTCATCTTTTGATTAAGTACAAAACTTCAGCCATGAAGAATGCTTTAATACTAGCAAAATAATGACCTGTACCATCTCATCTCACCTTTGAAGCGAGATACCAAGAACCAGTAAGGCAGAAGAGCTACAGCCTGCAACTGTACAGCTCTGCTGGAGATCAACAGCCAGTACAGTTCCAGATACATGACAGCAATTTAATCATATAGCCAGGTGTACAAAGATTGCCACATGAGCTACCATTATTCAAAATGCCAGCAGTTTTACAAAGATTCATGTCAGTAGCTCATTTGCAAGATGAAAGTCATTTTCTCCATCTCCAGAATACCAGTGTCTTATACTGGAGAGCATACACTCACTCTACCCAGGATAATGTCTGGAGAAGTGGTGGTTCCTCCATCTTTAGGGAAGGAATTTCACTTTGCTTCCAGTAGATGTACTCACCATACGTTGCTTTCTTGTCCCCAATCCAGCGCATGGCCCAGTCAGCCTTCTTTTTAACACATGGTAACGTTTCAATAGCATTAAAAAGGAATTCCCTGAGAAGGATGGAACTCATTAAGATCAGACATCAGCACAACTAGTACAATAAACATTCACTGCCACAGATGCTCTGCACCTTCACTCTGACAATTAAGTCTCCTTCCCCCTCTTATTTTACACCAAATTAGCTCTGTTCGTACCCATCAACTACCTTTTTATCACCTACCCATCACATCAACACCAGTTCACATGAATTCCCATGACAGGATCAAAAGGAGTACTGTTTCAAGTGTTGTACTTGAACAAGGCTTTCAAAAATACACATCAACCAGCCTCCGCTTTCCAGCAGCAAGGCACCAGAGCTCTCGTTTTAAGTATTCTTCCTTAAACACTTGCTGGAATTAACCATCCCAGTAGATACAACATGGTCAGCTTTACAAAGTAGCAACAATTAAATTTATTAAATTTATCTAGACTTCAAATAGCACTGCAGTGCCATGGCATTTTGCTGAACAGGGTGGTCTGACAAGACACCAGAATAACTCAGCCCAGACTGCTCAAAGCCCTGCATTTAGTTTTAAGATACCATTTTTGAATGAATCCACCTCGTTATGAAGATTTTACCTTAGTTTTATTTTTAATCAAGACCAAAAGCCACTTTTTGGCAAACGCAACATGCTTCCCCCCCCCCCCCCCC